GTGCTGTCCAAAATTGTGAAAGTGTCGATTAAAAAGACTGCTCTTCCTATGCCTGATAAGGACACCGCAGTGCCATCAATGGTACCAACTGCAACAATAGCCACTTCTGGTTACCCGGAGGAGTCAAATCCATCGAGCGGGGAGGTGATCACTAACTCGCTGGAAGACAGTTTAAATGAATGACAATGATTGAGGTTATCCAAATAAACATTCATCGGAACGAGACGGCTACGAACGCTCTGATAGCTAAAATTAACACAGGTAAGATACATATAGCTTTAATCCAGGAACCTTGGACGGTTCGCAACAAGGTTTCTGGATTAAATCACGCAAATTTCCAACTTTCTACGCTGATACAGGGTCTCGACCGAGAACATATATCTTATGTCACAGGAATTTATGTTTTCTCCTCTCAACAGGATTATCCACATCGGATGCAACGATGCTGAAGCAAGGTCGTGGCAACATATACCTTGCATCTGGTTACCTGCCTATCGATTCCCCGATACTACCACCAACGTCGGAGCTGATGAAACTGGTCGAAGAGACACAAAGGAAAAATAAGAAAATTGTAATAGGTTGTGATGCCAACTCCCACCATGTAGCTTGGGGTAGTATAAACACCAATCGAAGGGGACAAGCCCTTATGGATTTCCTTAATACTAAAGACTTGATCACATCGAACTTAAGTAATAAAGCTACCTTCGTCAATAGAATCAGAGAAGAAGTATTAGATATAACTATATGTTCAGAAGAGCTTATAAACGAAATTCAGGATTGGAGAGTTTCGGACGAGCACTCCTTTTCTGACCATCAGTACATATTACAAGTAATTGTAATTGAAAATTTCAATTACAAATACAAGTAATTGTAATTGGCAAAACTTCAATTACAATTACAAATAATTGTAATTAGTTATTTGTCAATTACACATTACAAGTAATTGTAATTGGAAAAATTTCAATTACAAGTAATTGTAATTGGTTATTGTTCAATTACACATTACAAGTAATTGTAATTGACCTTGATCCCCTATGCCTGGTTTACATCATATGGGTACCAGGACAATCGGGAGTAGTCGGCAACGAAAGGGCGAATGTAATAGCTTTAAAGGGAAGGGAGCTCGAGATAGTTAACCTGACGAACGCAAAACCATTCGACGCAACAAAAGCTGAATTAAAAATATGGGTGAGAGAATCCCATAAGGCCTCTTGGAATAATAAAACAGTGGGTAGAACCACAAAGATCCTATGGGGTGACCAAGACGAGAAATCTCCTCAAGTCTGAAGTTAGTATGATGGTACGTATTCTCAGTGGACACAAAGGATTACGAGCTCATCTAAACAAAATTGGCCGTGCGGATTCAGACGAATGTAGAGCATGTGGAGAGGACAATGAAACTCTGGAACACTTTCTTTGCCACTGTCAAGCATTCGTCGAAGTTAGATCCAAGTATCTTGAAAGTGATGACTAACACTGATTGTAAAATTCTTAGGAATTACGTCCAGGAAACTGAGTTTCTGAACACTAAAAAATAATATACTCAGTGAACAAATTTTTTTTTTCTTGAAAAGGAGCGCACATCAGGCCCCATAGTGGCCTAGGTAGTTAGATCCAAGTATCTTGAAAGTGATGACTAACACTGATTGTAAAATTCTTAGGAATTACGTCCAGGAAACTGAGTTTCTGAACACTAAAAAATAATATACTCAGTGAACAAATTTTTTTTTTCTTGAAAAGGAGCGCACATCAGGCCCCATAGTGGCCTAGGTATATTTTTTCGGATTTGATGTACTATACATCCTCCTATCAACCTAACCTAAACATTCATTGCTGGTTTAAAAATACGAGTTATGAAACGTTAATCTTGCACATTCTTCATGCGGAATGTGTTGGTAAATCACACTAACCCCCATATAAGCACCCTTCAGTAAATTACTTTAACGCTAATATCGTTCGGCAGGATACTCACTTGTTACTACTATTCATTTAAGTTTTATTCATGAATGAATTAAAGAAATAAAAATCGAATTACACTGGTTTTTAAAAAATACGTAAAACAATAATACTAATAATACTAATAAAATAGTGGCCTAGGTAGTTAGATCCAAGTATCTTGAAAGTGATGACTAACACTGATTGTAAAATTCTTAGGAATTACGTCCAGGAAACTGAGTTTCTGAACACTAAAAAATAATATACTCAGTGAACAAATTTTTTTTTTCTTGAAAAGGAGCGCACATCAGGCCCCATAGTGGCCTAGGTATATTTTTTCGGATTTGATGTACTATACATCCTCCTATCAACCTAACCTAAACATTCATTGCTGGTTTAAAAATACGAGTTATGAAACGTTAATCTTGCACATTCTTCATGCGGAATGTGTTGGTAAATCACACTAACCCCCATATAAGCACCCTTCAGTAAATTACTTTAACGCTAATATCGTTCGGCAGGATACTCACTTGTTACTACTATTCATTTAAGTTTTATTCATGAATGAATTAAAGAAATAAAAATCGAATTACACTGGTTTTTAAAAAATACGTAAAACAATAATACCAATGTTATTTTCTTGTATTTAAAAGTTTGATGTTGTATTTATGTATGAACATACAGTTACTCAAACATAAAATCGGACATGATTTTTATTAATTTTAAATTAAATAAAAAGTATTTTAAAAATTACTTCTTTGAGATTTTAACTATTTGTATGATTTAAGTGGACAAACAATTTATGTTCAGATTTTTCTACGATTTTGCATCTTTAACATTAAAAATGTATCCAGTTCTACTCTATTGTGTATTTCATGGTGTCTTTATGAATATAGATCCAGCGGCGGTCTAGGAACTATAGAAATAAGGCACCTTATTTTTCGAATTCGAGGAAATATGAAATATGTACCAAATATAAGTAAAATCGTGTGTAAACGTGTCATGACTGCGTCCATGACATTATTTAGAAGGTATGACAATGAAAATAATTTGAAAATAAAACCGTTAGGTCAAGAAAAACATGTAAATTGGAAAAAAAGTAGAACCCGTACATTCCTCAAGGCGATAAAAATCCGCCAAAAAGATACCTTTGGGCTATAAAAGAATGTTGAAGCCAACATGTATAAGAAAGTCGGCTTCTCATAAATTTTTTATGGACAAGTTTTAAAAACAATCGCTTTACAAACAATTAATATTCATATTAGTAAAAATTGAAAATTTTTATATACGATTACTGCACTATAAGCAACATTATTTTTGAGAATATATACAAGTATAATGTCGGTAGTATACACTAGACTATATATGAGTGCATAGAACATATTATAGTTTAGTTTCCGTATTCCAAAAGAACAAATTTGTACTGATATGAATATTCAATAGCAACATTTAAACGTAAAGTCATACTCTTAGGGCTTATAAAACGAACGTTTTTAAAACTTGATCAAAGCACACCTTCTTATATGTATGTACATACTGGTTTCAACATTCTTTTATAGCCCAAAGGTATATTTTTGGCGGAATTTTATCACCTCGAGGAATGTACGGGTTCTACTTTTTTCAAATAATATGTTTTCCTTGACCTTAACGCTTTTATTTTCATTGTCATACCTTCTAATAATACCATGGACACAGTCAGTTGCCCACCAAATCGTTTACGCACGATTATACTTATATTTGGTACATATTTCCTCCTATTCGAAAAATAAGGTGCGTTATTTCTATAGCTCCTAGACCGCCGCTGGATCTATCTTCATAAAGACACCATGAAATACACAATAGAGTAGAACTGGATACATTTTTAATGTTAAAGATTCAAAATCAAACATAAATTTTTGTCCGATTTTGCGTTTGACTTTAAAATGTTTATGTTTCATCTTTAATGTAGATTATTTCTATAAAGAAAAGGAAACTTTTGCAAATTTGTAATAAATCATACAAATATTTAAAATCTCAAAAAGTCATTCTTAATATATTTTTTATTTAATTTTAAAATTAATAAAAATCATGTCCGATTTTGGGTTTGAATCACTGTATTTCTAATTATTTAAATCATACCGAAATTACCCCTAAAATATCTTTATGTACACTGCCGATAACGCTAAAATATCAAAATCGAAATAAGCCAAAATACCGATAACGCTAAAATACCAATACCGAAATAAGTCAAAATGCCGATACCGCTATCTTATCACCGTTTCGAGACGGTTGCCAACCTTGGTATTAAGAGGTAAAACGTAACAATATTTTTTTTTCGTTAATAATGTTGGATCTTCGAATGTTTCCCGAACAAGACCAACGGAAAATGAAAGTATACAATTAATAGACCCAATTCCCCAAAGGGTTTTAAAAAGTTAGCTCGTATTGTTAATTTATAGGCATTTTAAACTTAGCTTTTTTCAGTAAAATTTTCTCATATGTAATATCAAAAAATTTTGAGCATGATCCAAACGGAATCTCCCATTTTCATTATTCCTTTACAAAAATTTTTTTATAATATCAACAATAATATATAAAGAAATTAGAGTTGGACCATGAAGGGATCCATAGAAAATATAATTTTAGTAAACTAATCCATTTTACTTCCGTACAAATTTTAAAATTTTTAATTTTATTTTTTGATAAATCAAATAAAATTTGAACATTTCTAGTAGAGTATTTACTAACAACTAATAAAATAGAAAGGAAATTAAAGCCCACAAAGTATAAACATTAATAAATTTAAATATCTAAGACCTTAAGTAATTGAGTAATTTGTATATTGACTTATTTCAGTGGATTACATACATATAAAATACATACATATATGGGAAATTTTTTCACAAAATTGAAAAACTCTAAATGCCTATAATTTAAAAACTCGAGCTAACTTTTTCAAACCGTTTGGGGATTTTAGTCTACTAATGGTCTACTTTCATTTCCCGTAGGTCTCATTCGGAAAAGATTTTCTTGTTGCACAGTGTAATTATTAAAGAAAGAGTAGAAAAATTAAAATAAAAGAAAAATTCAATGTTATAATTAAAAACATATATTAATTTTTTTCAAAGTAAATACATAGATTTGATCCAAAGTTATAAATGAATTAATTAAACGTATATGGTAATAATAAAAAAATTTTAGATTGAGTTTGTCCAGGTTGACAAAAATTTCAAACAAATATTTCTAAATTAACTCGGTTGTATATTTTTTGTCACCAATAAATAAGGACAAACGCATTATAGCATCTCCACAAGATTTAATATATGTATTTTCTGGATCATATACAAATGAAACACTCTCTGAAAATATTAAAAATATTAATTGATAAATTTACGAAAAAATTATGTTTTTGTTTACTTACTTTCTTTGATATTTTCATAATTTGAAAATATGTCGACTTCGGGTTGATATATATGAATTAGGGAAATACATTTCAAATCACACAATAATTCTAAAAGCAAAAATATATCCACTGGTACGAAGAGTGAAAATCTCTTGCAAATCTCGTTAGCACTGCAGCCATTACTCGCAATACATTCGGAAAGTATAGATCCCAACCATCTATCTAGGACTCGACGGTTAATGGATCCATTTAATCTTATCCATGGAACGGGTTTCATGGCAATAACATCCCTAGAATAAATATAAATATTGAATTGGTTTGCTTTTCAAAATTAATCGTGAATATTAATTACCTTTCTTTGAGATTAGTACTGGAATTCTCATTTTCCAATTGAGTGGCATCAAAACGTCTAACTGGTTTAGGCGTACGCTTGGTTCGTTCTTCAGAGTGTACGTCTCCGACAGTAGTTTTGGATCTTTTTGATTTTATTTCGCACATTTCCTCCGAGGTTGTATACTCTTCTTGTTGACATGATCTCTTAATAGCAGAAGTAGAGCCACCTATATTTTCCCGGTCCAATCGTTTTAAGTTAAAAGTATGTACAACCCAAGAACGTATATGATTTTTATGTACGTACATAAAAGAAGAAATGCCAACTCGTTTTATTAAGAATTCAGACGATAATATATGTAAAGCTTTGAAAAGAAAGTTTTCATATGGAAACTCAGACTGAAAAGCAAATATTTTAAATGTTTATTCTTTACTTTTAGACAATAGTTTACCATAAGATGTGATATTGATACACCCAACGTGTGTCTTTCTATAAAGTTGTGAATTTCTTCTAAATGTTTTTGTTCCATCTCATTGAAGCCCAGATCATCTCGCTTTTGTTTAACGTTATCCAAACTGTTGTCTGTATATTTCCAAAGTGAATCTCTAAACGAATGTGTAAGGTAAGTACAATTTTATATGTTTATGTTCAAATATCTACTTACTCGAGAACTTTTTTCAAAATGGTTTCTCTTTGAAGTTCAGGCTCTAATATTTTTTTCGGAATATTTAAATCTTTCTTATGACATGTAGTAGTATCCCTATCATTTTTAAGATCATCATTAACATTAATTTGTATAGTTGGAAGATTTACTACAAAAACGTCTTGGGCTCTAATGACACGTTCTTCTTTGTTTAGTGTTGGTTCGTATTCCTCTGTTTTATCAAAGTCATCAGAGTTGGCATTAAACGTGATTATATCATTGCAGAGTTGACACCAATCTATAGATTTTTGACATTTCAAATTATTGTGGTATTTTCCAAGATCTTTACATTCATATTGAGACTCTTTTTCATGCCAGTAAGACTCCAGCATACGGACCAGCGTTAATATATTAGAGTTGGAGACTTTCATTGACAGCCCACTTGTGGCCTGATTAAGAAGTTTTTGTGGTGCCATTTCTGTCAAGGTGTTAAATATGGTTTTCTTTTCCTCCACAATACGTTCAATTTCAGCAACATAATCCCCATTTTTAAAAATACATTTGAAAGGACACTCGATTACAATCTCACCATCATCATCTTCACGTTGAAGCTTTGAAAAATTTATCTCAATCTCGTTTTCTAGAAAATCTAACGCACAAAAGAAATGTAGATATCTAGATGGTAATTTTGATATAAAATCATAGGGTGTATAGTGAATTTTATAACTAAGATTTGCAGGATGGAATTTAACACGAGCCTGAAATTATAAAGGTTACAAGCAATAATTAATACTTAAAGCCTCATTTTGTGAAAAAAAAACTCCAAAAAGTGCAATTTTCTAACATATAAACGCCTTTACAAACTTTGGCGGCGATGCGCGGGCTCTTACCCTTAAAATAATTGAATAATATTTTACAGTCATATTACATAATTTCACTATTAGAAGTTGATCCGAGAGAAAAGCCTATTTTCGACCCACCCTAATGGCCATTTCTATGACATCAAACGAGATGTTTGTAGGAGTAGTAAACAACCCAGCAAAAAATAATTGATGTCATACCTTAACAACGACATCTTAATTACATCTAAAAATGCAATTACATATTTTTCGCAATTATAAACCAAATATTTCCTTACAAATGAAAACACACAGCATGTTTGTAGTCAGTAACTCAAAATAACTTTTAAGTAGTTTCCATTTCGAATCAAAGAATTTGCAACAAAATGGCATCGATTTGTTGTTGCATATTTAGTTATAAATGCATAAATTTCATATTTTGCTTAAAATGAATATATTTTGCATATTTCTTATATTTTATAGCATATTTAGCATATTTTTTTTTTTAATTTTTTGGAACACAAATTTTATTTAAAAACAAGTAAGAAAGTATAGTCGGGCGTGACCGACCATATGATACCCTACACCAGTTATGAATATTAAATGTGATTTATTTTTCATAATAAAGCATTTAGGGAAGAAGGGGGACCATAGCCACTTTTTTTTGAGGCGGCCTCAAATTAAAACCACAATACATATTCTTAATTTTTTTTTGTTCGGATACTTAGATATGTTGGCTTTAGTTTTATTCCTTTCAATCTTTCCTAAGTCATCCTCATGTACATATTTTTTTTAACTTTTCCGCACTGACCAAAAACGGCGATACCGCCCCATCCATGGGGTAAATACGCCAAGGGGATGGGGCAGATTTGTCATTAGTAAAATAAAAGAAAAAATTACAAAAATAAAAACTTATTTTGCTGTTTTATACTTTAACGCTTGTATTTATAAAAAAATCTTATTTTGCTTTTAATGTACTCAATAGTTAAAGCACACTTTAGCCTTAAAAACCATTAATAAAATTGTGATATTCATAAACAAATAATAAACGTATATTAACTATTGTGCTGATTTATGTTTAAGTTGGCAGCACTGTACAATATGGCTGTCATTTTATGTGTTAGTGTTGCGTACAATTAGGATAAAATAATCGTTGATTCGGTTTTCTTAATTTCATATTTTTGTTTATAATAGATTTTTGACAATAAAAACAAACATTTAAGAAAAATAAATATATATGTGGTTTTAATAAATGTCTATTTAGTTCAGATGTATAAATATAACATATAATTTCTGATTATTATTAAAAGTATCCGAATAACGGATATTTTGCGACAAAATATACATCACTATGACACATTTTCTTATTTTTACTTATTTTCCTTGTAATTTTTGACAAATTTTTGCAAATATTGATAAATTTCTTTGATATTTGACTAATTTTAATGCCGGCGAATATATTTTGCATTAGTATAACACTAATCAATATAATTTACATGGTTAATTACTTTATGGCATTATATTTAACCAACAAACTTTGAAAAAGCCAAATCAAATGATTTTGTCCATCATTTGGTTGACAGACGGGCATTTCCAAATTGCCTAAAAATAGTGCTGGACAATTGGAATATTGTCAAAGATTCATGCATTAATCCAATAATGCCTAGATTTGAGTTTTTTCCTCAAAATATAATCGTTTAAAAATTTTCTGGGATTTTATTTACAAATTTGTAAACGTTAAAATTAGAATTTTTAGATTTTATTTTAAAAGAAACCATAATTACTTTTCGCAATCAACCTAAAATTACCGGAAAAATCTTTATCTGAGAAAAAAATTGTTAAAAATCAAGTTATTGTTGGCTTAAAGAAGGGTCGAGCCTACAATAAAATTCTTCTAATTGTCAATGGTTTATTGAAGGTGTTTTAAGCTATTTCACGTTTATAAATACGATTTTCCTGAATTTTGCCTAAAATTGTTTAATAAACCTAAAATAAGTTTTTATAAATACAGCCGTAATTCATTAAACAAAGTATAATAAACCAGATATTTATTGTTTATTTCACAAAACTTAACAAAAAAATTAAAACAAATTATTACTGATTTTTTCTATATTTTAACCAAATTTTGTTCTACATCACAAGCAATACATATATTTGGCGCATGTGCCCCACGGGCAGTTCTGGGGTTTAGTTTCAATTTTTTTCCGGCTTCAATTTATATTATCGAAAATATGATTATGTCTTATTGTTCACTATTATTGACGTTCTAATACTGACCAATATATTTTTTCCATCACAAAAACTAAAAAAGTTAGCACAAAAAGTTCACACAGTGAAATATTTTCACAGCCCTTTGAAAAACAATTAATCATGTCTGCCTCCCATCATATGTAAAGTTAATGTTTCAAATTTTCAGGGATGATAGATAATCGATAAACGAAAACAAAATTTGATAATGCGATAAAATCGATTACTCAGTTTTCAAGTTATTCGCTATTGGCAGATGTGCCCCTATGGCGTATGATCCCCCTTCTACCCTATATTCAATATTACCTTGTTCCGATACATTTAAGCAATTTATGGATGAAAAACTAATTTTCTGAAAAAGGCTTTATATGGCTAGGTGAAATATGGACCAAACCCGATAAAGTTTTGTGAATGTATTTATATTTATATAACATTTATTTAATATTTATTTGTGCTGAACTTCCTCGCAGTATTTGTGTTTATAAATAAATTTTGGGCATTCAAGTAATTTTCTGAAGGGGACTTTGTATGGGAGCGAGGTCATCAAGACTTGTATAAAACTTAGTTGTACCGCTTTTTATCGATATACAGGTATATTTAACATAATTATTAGCTCAGAAGCCCTTTTCGGGGGGTTCTGTTGTATGGGGGCTAGGTGAAATAATGGACCGATTTTAACCAATAGGCTTCGTCCTTGGGCCAAAAAAAAAAAAACGTGTGTGCCAAATTTCATCCAATTATCTTGAAAATTGCGACCTGTACCTTGCGCACAAGGTTTACATAGACAGGCAGCCGGCCAGACGGACGGACGGACATAGCTTAATCGACACAGAAAACGATTCTAAGCCGATTGGTATACTTTAAGGTGGGTATAGGACGAATATTTTTGTATGTTACAAACATTAGCACAAACCCAATATGGACCGATTCTTATAAAATTCGGTAGAGAGATTTGTGCTCGTAAGAAACTTACTTTTGTCGAATTTCAGCGATATACTCGTATTTTCAAGCCAGTAGTGAGCATTAAAGTCATGTTCTGAGGGAAACCTTAATGAGGGGTAGAGTAAATTATGGACCGATCCTCATAAAATTCGGTAGAAAGATTTTTGCCCGTAAGAGTCTTACTTATATCGAATTTCAGCTTATTTTTAAGCCAGTAATGAGCGTTAAAGTAATTTTTTGGAAGGGACCATATACATATGTATGTATGAGGGTCAATTATGGACCGATCCTCATAAAATTTGGTAGAGAGAATTTAGCTCATATAAAACTTATTTATGTCGAATCGCTATACTCTCATTTTTATAACAGTTATGACTGTTAAAGCTGTTTTTTCGGGGGCCACTTGTATGGGGGCTATGCGAAAACGTGGACCGATAGTGTCCATTTTCAATACCAAACAAACCTATAAGAAATATTTTTGGAAAATTTCAACTCTTTAGCTCTTTCCGTTCGGACTATTTCGTGCTTTCTACAGACAGACAGACATGGCTAGATCGTCTTAGAATTTAAAAAGGACCCAGAATATGCTGGTAGTAAAGAAATATATATCTAAACTCCTTTCTGCAATTTTTTCTAGGACCAATAGGTGAAAATTAAAAAAAAATCCTGTATGACCAAAATGTCATCCAAATCGATTTTTTGAGTTGGGTCACTTGACACGAGATCGTGATTCTGTTTAATTTGTATTAGAGTACATAAAGCGGTATCTCTGTCATCAAGAACTTATATATGTATATGTTGTCAAAAACTAAAGTTCTAAATATCTATACAAATATACTCAAATATAAATAGAAAATTTAGTGATAACAAATAAATTTCACAAAGAAAATATTTTATGGTGCATACTTTCCACATTTTTAGTGCATATTATCCCATTTTATAGTGCATGTTATAAGCGCATATTTTTCATTTTTTAGTGCATGAATCCTTGCCATGGTCGTAACTAACTTTTGTGGAGATATGGCCAATTATAGGCCAATCCGAATAAAATTTCGCAAAATGGTTTTTTCGATAAAAAACACACTATGTCGGATTTAATCCGTATATACTTATATTTTAATGAAATATATTGGAAAAAGTGACTTAAAGAAGTGGACCTTATATGAGAGCTATGACCAATTATATATTGACCATAAATTTTTTTTTAAAAGATTTCTTATATACACGAAATATACTCATGTAAATTTGTTTATTTATGCGGAATTTTATTCCAATATCTTTATTCATTAATGAAATATTCGATTTTCTAAAGTGGATCTTATATGACAGATATAACAAATAATGTACCGATCCGAAAAATATTTTGCAAATATTTTGCAGAGTGATATACACAATACATATTTATGTTGAATATTATTCCAATATGTTTATTTCTTAATTAGTTATGTATGTGCATTTATATGATTTTCGGAAGTGGACCTTATATGGGAGCTGTGACCAATTATGGACCGATCCTGAAAAAATTTCGCAGGGTGTAATTTCATTCAGTTATGAAATACAATGGAGTCGGGTTAGAGTGAACTAATTCATGCAAGGCTTGTTCACTTTATGCAGAAAATTCACTTTAAAGAGATCATAAAAAGTTAATAAACAATGTTATTTTATTGTTATTACACTATTTTGAAAAGTAATTAAATTGTAAATTAATTTTTTAATTGAAAAGAACTATT